AAATGCACAATGAATTAACTGAAGATCTACAAAGATCTCCTTAATCCTCATCACTATGAAATCTTCTTAGTCTACTTCACTACTTCTACACTAATATGCACTTTTGTATACAATGGATGCGGGTGCGGTTGAGACATTGGGGAACTTCACTAGGCTAGCGATTCTAAGCCATACTTGCCCTTGAGACACATTCCCAGGCAAGCATTAGCTAGGGTGCGTTATGAGCCAGGTACTTAGGAGCTGGGTGCGGGCAAGGTGGTGGCAAGCCGTTAACCCACCTGTCACATCGCTACACAACTTGTCGATCATTCTCTTGTACATTTCTTCCCAATCAAACTGCATGTACAGCTTCGCATTTACTTTTCTCCACGACGATCGTTAGCTTTATCATACGCATACAGATGTCCGTCACTTTCAACTACTAGATCTTCCTTCAATCGACCATCCTTGATGTTATAAGGATGAAATGAAAGTTCGGATGTCTCTAGTGGATGGCGATTGAAAAGCTTGATAATCTCGCCACGGAAGAAGATGCTCTTCACTTTCAGTTTATTCTTCTCAGTTGGTTCTGGTTCGGTTACTGTTGGCGTACGTAAATAGAGATGGGAACATGATTGAAACGTTGATCTTCAATGAACACAACTCTATATTTTGAGTTGAGAAACTCTGACGAGAATTCATAATTAAATGTAGAATCATGATCGTGCAACTCAATATAGCATTAGTGGGAAGAAGAGCTCAACCGCGAAATTGCTCGGTAAGTTCAACATTGATGAGACGTTTACAAAGCCACCGAAAGTCGTGTTCAATTCTGTGAAAGCTAACATGTTCCCAATGAGCGGTTAGAATTCCATGGCAGACGTCATATACTTACCAACGACAAAACGAAAGTTCAAATACTTATTGACGATGATCGACATTTGGTCGAACAACATCGGTTTCGAGCCGATCAGAAACAAGAAAGCGAAAACCGTCTTAGATGCGATGAAAGTGATCTTCAATCGTAAACTCGTGCCGAAGCCACGCGCATCGATTCGAACAGATGGTGGTAGCGAATTCAAAGAAGGTTTTCACAAATTCGTGTACGACGAATCGTTCTTACATCGAGTCTCTGAGCCGTACCGCCTCAACCAACTTGCCAATGTGGAGCGACTGAATCGTACGCTTGGTCGATTCCTCAATGGCTACATGAACGCAAAGGAAGTGGAAACCGCGAAAGTGTATCGAGAGTGGACCGATATCATTGATGAATTTCGAGGATTAAATAACGCTACGATCAAGCTTGACGATCGCGATCCATTCACGTATGCGTTTCCAAGTACAAGACGAGTAACAAGTTCAAAGTCGGTGACTCGGTTTATTACAAGAGCGAGGTGCCATTGAATGCCTTGAATGGACGGCAGAACACGAAAGTGTTTCGAACTGGCGACATTTGCTACAATCTGAACACAAAAAAAAATCAAGCAGATCGTCTACTACCCGAACAACGTTCGTTACATTCTTGATGGAAAGCCACATGTGTCATACGCTGAGAGTGAGCTCCTTAGAGCTGCGAGCGAGACGAGCACGCGCTGAGACAAGCTAGAGCATCTTCAATGAGTTTCCAACGATTGTAGCTCCACGACTGCTCTTGTCGTCTTCCTTGATGAACATAAACTGACTTCCGGAATCGAGCTCAATGCTGCCGTTGTAAGTAATCGAATCTGTTGCGATGCGAATCACTCGATCAGCGTTCTTCAGCACAAGATTGGCCATGATGCGACGACACAATGAGAGTAAGAACGGGTTGATTCGGAATTGATGCTTGAAGTAAGGTTTGCTTTTGTCGACGAGCTTGTAGAACGTATCTCCATTAGCTTTGTTGATGCGGTCTCTGAGATAGTACTTAGCATCGTCGTCAGTGTCGTCCCGGCTAAAATCCATCGAATCGATCTTGTGTTCGCTCTTGATAATCGTATTCCCCAAGTAGAGCTCGCTAGATGCTTGATGAGTTTGTTCTTCGGGAACGCTTTCTTGAACTTCCGGAGAATTGAGAACCAGTTGCGGAACACATCAGACGATTCGACAAGATCATTCTTATCGTACTTCAAACAAGTGTTTCCGATCAAAGTCAATTTAATGTTACCGCCATGATGCTTGTTGTAGACGTTCATTACGAAGTTGAGACTCGTGTGAGTGTAATGATCGTGCTTACTGAATGCAAAGCGTTTCTCGATCCGTTTATCGCCGTTGCTTTCGACTCTAACGTGGTAGATGCCGTACAGGAAGCCAGCGGATGGAATTTTGGAGATCTTGCCAATTTTGCCAGCCTTCATAGGGAACTCGAATTTGTACGCTTGGTTGTCCGTCTTGATACCAAGAGTGCTCGGATAGAACATCTTCCTATCGTATGTAGTCACTTCCTCGTACGTTCCTGGTTGATTCTACGTCAAACCAGCGTTGTTGCACTTAGCGTACCAATCAGCCTCGGTGAGTGTGATTACATCCATTTCATCTGGGACTTGTAGATGGTATTTCATGAAGCGATGGACGCTATTGGCATTATTGGCATATTTGATGCGACCATTGCTGTTCTTGTAGTTGCTGAAATAGTCGAACCGCTTCTTGAGGATGCCCGAATTGAGAATTTCATTTCTCCACAAGATCATATCATCGGCAAATCTCGAGAGTGACACATCGGTTGCTTCGTAATTCTTAAATTGCTCGAATTGGTTACTCGAATAAACGAGAGTGTTCATCGTTGCGAATTGCTTCGTTTCATTGTTGAAGACACAAAATTCGTTTTGAGATGTCTTGTACCATACCAGAAAATTTGTTCATCGTTGATTGATTGCTATATTATACGGAGAGAATTGTCAAGATCGAAAAAAAGAATTCGATTTATTGAGTCGCGAGCCATCGTTGATGCCTAGCACTCTTGAGATGACGAGCTTTGTCGCCACGATTATGATCAATGCCACATTCGCAAGTGATGCGTTCATTCATTCGTGTGAGATTCTTCTCACGCTTCTCTTCCTCGGATACATGAGCACGACGTACATTGATACACTCAATAGCTCGAATCAAATAATCTTCACGCATTAGCAATTCTTGCTTGGTTACATCCTCGAGAGTCTGAAGCAATTCGACACGAAAGTTGTTGATACCTTGATCAATCAAATAAGGGTAGAGCACACCAGAACGACCCTGACGACACGCATTCTGATGACCCACCCAACGAGCTTGAATATTGCGCTTCGTTGAGCCGACGTACACGACAGAATCGTCGAGATTGCAGATTTTATAAACGTACGAGTTGTTCATGATTGCTATATACTGATCGGAAAAGTATCAAGATCAATCGACACGGAAAATAATTCTATTCTGACCGAGAACATGCAACTAATATAACAATGAGAACCAAAACAGAAATCAAAGGCAAGCAAATCAGACCAACGGCAACTTCGACTCGTCCGCGACGCTCTCGACGTCTCAATCGACCTACCATTCCAGTGCCGACTCTGACGCTCGCGCAAGTCAAGAAAAAGGCTCCAGAGTTTGCGGCCAAACACGGAATCGATCCAAAGAACATTTACATTCGCGGGCTCGCGACTACGGGTTTCTTTACTATCAAAGCTTTGAATAAGGGTTTAGACAAGTTGTACGACACGATGGAAGAGTACCTGTCCAATCGCGTGCGCGACACTGCTGAATTGAAGGAATTTTACAAAGTCGAGATCACGATATATAAGTAGAATACAATTCTTTTTTTAATCCTAAGCAAACTCTTTACTAATTTACAAACAAACAAAGGATCAACAAAAATGCCAGCATACTCCGAACAAACCAAGGAACGCAAGCGACAATATTACATTGAGAATTGTGAGAAGAAGATCGAATACCAACCAGCGTACTACAACGCAAACAGCGCGACCATCATTGAGAAGAATCGAGAGTACAAATTGCGCCAAATGGCTCGCATTCCGATCGTCCCGCTTGATGCGTGAGTATGATCAGTCATTTTTTGTGCATCGTAGATGCTCGTAGATTCAAAAAAAGTCAACCCATCTAATAGCAATCGATGATTGCTCACCGACGGTCTCAATCGAGTGATTGTTCATCAACGTCATGGAAGTGATCGTTGCGTCTCGTGTATATTTCAATCGTGCCCTTCACGCTTGCAACATCCATCATATACCCACGCATTACAACTCCATGCACGCGTCAACTTATGCTGGATCCTAGAACTTTTACCATAGTTTTTGAGATTCGCTGGTTGCTCCATGCAGTAGCAGCAGCATTACCGATGCGAATCCATTCGTTGAACCGATCCAGCAGTTGCGCGTTCGAGTTAAATCCATCAACGAATCGTAATTCAGTTTCAACTTCTTCATTGATTGAAGCAACCATCCATTGAATCGTCTTGTTAATCGCATCGCGTTGCATCTCAGCCTTAGCTTCCGTCATCGGGAAGTCGCGTTGCGGAACAAAGTTTGCAACATCCAAGTTCATCAAGTGACCCTTCGTTATGCCTGTCAGCGCGTGCATGGACGTATGTGGGGATGTGGGACATGGCCAACCGCGACTACCGTGGCGTCACGGAGGCAGAGTGGGTCGCATGGTTTAGCAAGGCGTTTGAAGAGGAGCCTCAAGACCTAGAAGTGCTCAAGAAGCGTTTGACCACGGCGATCCGGTTCGATAAGACAATCCTGGACGGCGACTCGCGCATTGGCAAGATGCTGGATGCGAGCCTTGGAGCGCGACGACCAAGCGTGGGTCTTGGACCAAGAAGGCAAGACAGTTGTCGACATCATGGTCAAGGCGATCAAGCCGTTTGGCCTGCAGAAGTCGGGCCAATGCCAGCTGGCCCTCCAACGCAACAAGCCGTTGAAGTCCAACGTGTACCGTTTCGTGGACTGGCTGCACGTGCATACCGCCGGCTACCACTTGTATGCACCAGTGGAAGATGAGAAGACTTCGGCACCGCCTGCGACAGCAGCCGCTGCACCATCGCGGCCGTCCAAGCCTGGACGATATGAAGGCAGCGTTGGTAGCAGCAGTCGACCTCCCCAGCGCGCCCCCACCCCCGAGCAAGACAGCGCGAAGTACGAGCGCAAGAAGGCGACCTGCCGCAACTGCGGCAGCGAGAACCACAAGGTGGTAAACTGCCCCAAGTGCGCGCCTGGCGAATCCGAGCGCCTGCTCAAGGAACAAATGGACAAGTGGGAGAGCGCGCGCAACAGGAAGGTGATCAAGCTTCAAGGCACGCGAACAAGTCCCTCGGTCGCGAAGCCAAGATCGAAGGCATCGTGTCCGTGACGACGACCCTCCTCGACACCGGCTCGGACATTACCTTGGTGACAGCTGGTGTCATGAAGTCCCTGGAGCGGGCCGGCGTAGAAGTCAAGGTGACTTCGCCGGGGCCATCCGTGATCCAGCCGTATGGCCAATCACCTGCCCTCAAGGTCGACCGCCAAGTGCAGTTCAAGTTGGTCACCCTGGACACCCCCTGTGGACCTTTGGCCCTGCGTGGACTCTTCCTCCAACGCGGCAGAGTCTTGATCAGCCGGGCTGTGATGGAACGGCTGGGCTTCTCTGAAGACGAGTTGCTCAGCCACGCCTTTGCCAAGCAAGAAGTCTGGGATGTCAGGGACGTGGACAAGTCGTCTGCGATGGCAAGTGTCAGCCGCCTGACTCAAGTGGTCGCCTCAAGCGACGAGTGCGGTGATGACGGTATGCCCTGTGCCACCCCCAACATCCAAGTCCCAACTGCTGAAGACGCAGAAGGCGAGCGGAACAGGCGGCGAGCGGTGAAGCGGTGATTCAAGACAAGCTCCGCGCCGCCGAAGACGAAGGCTTGACCGCGGACCTCCTCGAGAAGCAGCAACTCCTCCTGGCCAAGCACGGTGATGTATTTCGCCTGGAGATCGGCCATGACTAGCCAATCAAGGTGGAGCCGCTGCGGGTGCGCATCAAGCCTGGCGCCGTCCCCGTCAAGTGTGGCCTGCGACGATACCCCCCAGCGCATGTGGAGTTCCTCAAGACACATGTGAGCGAGCTCGAAGCAGTTGGCCTGGTGTATCGAAACAACCGCGCAACATGGGCCTCGGCGCCGCGCATCGTCCCCAAGAAAGACCCTGGCGACTTGGGCATGACTATCGACAGCCGGCCCATCAACGCGTGCACGGAGCCTATGCCGAACCTCGACGCCGCCCTGACTGTCTAAGTGGGCGCGCGGGCGCTTTTCACCCTCGACTGGTTCAAGGGCTACTGGCAGCTGGTGCTCCATGAAGACTGCCAGATGTTCTACTCCTTCATGACCACGCCTACAAGAGTGCTTATGGGCCAGTCCAACGCGGTGGCGTTCTGCCAGTCGGCGGTGGACTTTTTGTTTGTCGGCCTATTGTTTAAGGGACTCCTAGCCTGGCTCGATGACATGCTTGGCTACGCCGAGACCCCTGAAGGCCTCCTCGACCAAGTCCTCACGATCTGCTCCTCCTTCGGCCTGAAGCTCAACCCGAAGAAATGCGAGTTTTTCCTGGCCAAGGCCGTCTGGTGCGGCAAAGTCGTTTCAACTAAGGCGTCCAGCACTCCCCCACAAGAATCCAAGGACTGTGTGCGCTCGCGCCGCCCGCCACGGCCGCCGACCTCCAACAGTTCGTATGCGCGACCAACTGGACGCGGTCCAGCATCCCCTGCTACACCGAGCTTGTGGCGCCGCTCCGCCAACTCCTCGACGCAGCGACCAAGCAAATTGGAAGTGCGAAGAAGACGAAGCTCACCCGGGTCTAACTCACTGCCGTTGGCTGGGATGTTGGCCATCTGGCCTGCTTCGACAAGATCAGGGAAGCTCTCTTGGCGATGGTCCCCATGGCGCACCCTGGTGCTTTCCTCGTTCCCCTACACCATCGAGTGCCTTCCCGGTGAAGACAATGTGTGGGGCGACCTGCTCAGCCGCTAGGGCGCCGCCCAAGCCCAAGTGCCAACGAAGTCCGTCCGGAGCCTCCTGGCCATGGTGTCGCCCCTGCAGCAGCCCGACTTCGACTGGCCCAGCCATGCCGGCATCGTCAAGACCCAACAAGTGGCCGTGAAGAGGGGAGAGACCCCGCCAACCGGCGTGGCGTGAAGACAAGAACCTGTTCCTCGACAAGCAAGACCGCATCTGGATCCCACCAAGTGCCACGGACCTCCAGCAGCGGGTCTGCATCATAGCGCACTAAGGCGCCGCGGGCCATCGACGGATCGAAGCCACGACCAAGGCCGTCCGCGATCTCTTCACCTGGAACACCCTCGAAGACGATGTCAAGACCTTTGTCCAAGCCTGCATCCACTGCCTCAGCGTCGACGGCTCAGTGGTCCCGCGTCCGCTTGGATCGGCGCTCCATGCCGAGAAGCCCCAAATTCTGATCTACTTCGACTGGCTATCCATGCCCACGGCAACGAACGGGTGGCAGAAGATCCTCGACATCAAGGACGACATGAGCGGGTTCGTACGACTTTGGCCCAGCGAGACAAGCGACACCGTGGCGACCGCCAATGGCCTCCTCGACTGGTTCACGACGTTTGGGTACCTGGGTCTCCGACAGCGGCTCCCGCTTCAAAAACGAAGTCATCGACAAGATCCACAAGGCCGCCAGCGCCCACCACCACTTCACGACCGCCTACTGTCATTGGGCGAAGGAACCGTTGAAGTAGTCAACCGACTGATCCTCCGCGCCGTCAAGACGCTTACCAGCGAGTTGAAGCTGCGCGCAACCGACTGGCATCTCGTCCTGGCCCTGGTACAAGGCGCATTGAACCACATGCCGAGCGACCGACTTAGCGGCATGGCCCCGGTGACCGCCTTTACTGGCCTGCCTGCGACGACACCTATGTCAGCGTTTGTCAACACCGTAACCAAGCAAGTTGCCAATATCGACTGGCTCAACTCCACGCGCAAGAAGCACATGGACGAGCTGCATGAAGCAATGGAACAGCTGCAACGTGAAGTGGCTGCGACAAGCACAAAGAAGCGACGCCAAGCCCGCGACCGCCAAGCCAAGTCCAAGGCCGTCCAGTTGCAGAAGTTTCGATCGGCGACTTTGTCCTCGTTGGCCACGTGTCCCGCCAAGGCAACAAGTTGTCCCTGCACTGGCGTGGCCCAAGCAAGATCGTCCGGGTCGTGACTGACTATATCATGGAGACCCAGCAGTTGGTGCAACCTTACGATTTGTCCCTCCACCACGCCTGCCGACTCAAGATGTATTGCGAAGGCGGCCGCGATGTGACGGAAGACCTGGCGGACCATATCGCCTTTGGTAATGAAGGGTTCCATGTGGCCAAGCTCGGCGACGTCCGCAGAGAAAACGGTGAATACCAAGCCCACGTCTACTGGCTTGGCCTCGATGAAGACGAAGCCTCATGGGAGCCCGTGCGCTCCTTCTATGAAGACATCCCCATCGTTTTCCGCCGTTGGGTTCACCAACATGGAGATCAAGAAGAAGTGAAGAAAATGGCCGCGGAACTCGAGAAGACCCTCGGACACTCCCTTTAGGGGGGAAGTGTTCTGCATGGCGCTGCAGAAAGACCTATGAGCCTTTTTAGAGGTCAGCTCATGATCTCATGATTGGTAAGGCCGTTAGTCTCCATTATGTGCAGCAGGCCACCATTCGTCGTGCGGTTGTAGCCATTGTCGTGCGGTTGAAAGATGTGCATTGTTGGCTCATTTTCATTGGACGAAATGATTAGACTTAAAATAGATCAGAAAAAGTAATTCGTAGATGGACGAGATTTTCCAATGAGAAATTTTCTCATTGGCAGGATTAGCCAATTAAATCATACTATTTGGATTGAGTTCAGAGCAAGATAGCCAATCATGAAGAGACATCTGCAGCAAAATACAATTATTTGGCCAAGCCCAGCCAAAGCAGTGGGTTGGTATCAACCAATCATACTTCTTGGGGCGATCAAACCATATGGGTCATAAACCCATTACTAGTGTACTTGGGTGACGATTTGTACAAATTTGGAGTACTTGACAGAAGAATTAATGAGTTCCTTGGGAGGTTTTGGGTTCATTGGTGGCCTCGATGTGGTCTTCAGTGCGGTAGCCGGTTGCGGCGTCGGAGAAACACAAGGCGACATTGCCTTTGACCCCTTGGTGTCTATTACAACGACTGCCTTCGTAACGGACTTCTTGGTGTCTGCACCTTGCCGATTGGAAGATGCGGACAAAACACGGGGCATGTGTGCCTTGGGGGCTGTCATGGATGTTGATAAAAACGATGTCGAGGGCAAAAGGATAACACTAGATACTTCGACGTCAGGTCGTGACACTCCTCGACGAGACAGTGCCAATGTAGCTCTCCAGCTGTCCTGCTCTCGACTCCGCGACTTTTGCGACAGCGTTTGCTCAATGTAGTACTTACGGCACTTGGTACTGCAAACCTACACGGAGTGGAGATGTTTAAACACAAATGCATTCACATAAAACTCACCGATTCTTCTGCCGAAAGTTGGTACAAACTCCCATTCTTGGCGGCATTGGATGAGCATGATCTGTGCACATAGTTCCCGCACTTGGTTCGGACAGCCTGACATTCCAAGGCCCGCTCTCGCTTTGTGTCGTACACAGCCTTGCAGATGCAGCATTCGTCTGGCTCAAGCCGCAGTAAACTGTTCCTTGCATTTCTTCGTGGCGACAACACGGTTTGCGCGGGTGAGGCTGGAGTTGCCTCTGAAGAGGCCACAAGTTGTGACAACGGGGGTGCGCATTTTTTTCGAGCAAACGATGGAGCATTTTCGAGCACGCCTTGGAATGGATCGATTTCGAGCAAAATAGTCCAGAGAGACACTTTCCGAACGTACTTAATAGGCACAAGAACATGTGTTAGTCATTGGTGAATTTCCGAGCAAATAAAATCATATGGTTTCTAAAATGCCAATGCTGAGTGCAGCTAATGGTACTTACTAAGTACTACTACTACACTACTACTACTAGTACTAAGTACTCTGGAGTAGTACTCGTATTATTAGTACTACGTAGTACTAATAATACGAGTAGTTACTACGTAGTACTTCGTAGTATTAATACTATTAATAGTAGTTACTTCGCGTATTAATACTAGTAGTTACTTCGTAGTATTAATACTAGTAGTTATTATGTAGTACTTCGTAGTATACATGTAACGTTAGTTATTAATAGTGATGATTCCTTTCAACACTACAAGTTGGATTACAGAACCTCGGAGTACTACGTAGTATTTACTACTATGTAGTGTTAGCTTTACTAATGTACAAGTAAATATACTTTGGGGTTTACTAGGGGTATGTACTACTCA